TGGGTCCCAGCTGTCGTCACACACGGTGCCCCAGGGCCCGGCATGCCACACCTCCAGCCGGCCTGAGCATCTGCTGGGCCCGGCCACCAGCCGCAGCTGCGGGGAGCCTGGGGCGGGAGAGACCCAGAGAATTAGGGTTGAGGAGGCCTCTGCTCTCTGCGCCCTCCTCCCCCCGCCCTCCCTCCATCCTTCCTCTGGGCAGCAAGCATTTCCAGAGCCTGTGCTGTGCCATCGGCACTGGCACAGAGATCAAGGGCCAGGCAGTGTGTGGTTCCTGGGGAGCTCAACAAGGAATCACCACGGGAGCCAGACATCCCACTCCGAGGGACCCACCCCACAGGGGAGCGTGGTTTTCAAACAGACCCCGGAGCGCAAAGGTCCACAGCAGCTCCATTCACAAAGCCAGAGTCTGGGGAAGCCCTAAAATCCCACCCACGGGTAAATGGACACACAAAACCTGGCCCATGGGTGCAATGGAATATTACGCAGCCATGAAAAGGGAAGGAGCCCTGGCTGGTGTGGCTCAGCAGATACAGCGTCGGCCTGGGGACTGAAGGGTCCCGGGTTCAATTCCGGTCAAGGGCACATGCCCAGGTTGCAGACTGATCCCCATTAGGGGGCGTGCAGAACTAATAAAATTAATAATAATAATAATAATAATAATGCCTAGATGTGGAAACACAGTCCATGGTTGACCCAGTCCTTCCAGAATCTGTGAGCAGGAGGCGGTCTTCAGAAAACATCGTGCATTTCAAGACAGGACCGCAGGGCCATAAAGCTGCGAGGCCTCTGCGCACCAGGCCTGTCACCTGCCCCTCCTCCCTGCCTCCTGAGACGGCCTCTGAGCAGAGGGGAAGGCACTGCGGCCCAGGGGTCGCGGGTCGGGGGTCGGAGCAAACAGAAGCTAAGACCCCGTTTGGGGGAGCAGAACTCACCAGCTTCCGGCCCAGGCTCCCAAAGGGCCGTGGGGGAGGTCAGCGGCTGGGAGATGTCTGCGGTCCTCAAGGCGGGGCGCGCCGTGGGGGGCGGGGGCCTGGAGGAAGTGGTCCCGGACTTGGAGTTGTTGCTGCC